TCCCCACGAGCAAATGAGTGAATCTTGACAGACTTGTCCAAGGCTCTCTTCATTCTTCCTCGGTTGAGCTCGAGGTTCTGCTGGGCCTCTAGTCTCTTTCATCAAGGGCATCCAACTCTTGATAACGAAGTTGATCCTCTCATTTTCAGTCAGTCCCTGATGTATAGCGACATGGAGTGAGGGTATTTGAACCTCGAGGGGTAAGACCTCTTCACCTCCACAATCGTGGGCTAAAACTTGCACTTAGAATGTTCTACTTCAGCCATCAACATAAATAAAATTGGAAGGTACTTGGTGCAATCCAGACCAGCCCTTCCCCAACAACTAGATTGGGATAAGACGCCCACCAAGGGCACCCACTAGTTGGCCCCAAAGCCAAAATGAAATTCTTACAACACTGGGATCAGGTCCACCAAAGACCCTTGGCTGTTACAAATAAAAGTAATTAGATTGGGACAAGATACCCACCAAGGGAACCCACTAGTTGGTCCATTAAGAGATGTTGTTGAGATGGAATGGTAAGCCCTTCTACAAGGCACCATATCAGCACACTCTCCTAGAAAACGAATTCTAGTAGCATTCGAAAGGAAGCCCTTAAGAAAGGCCCCCAGTCGCTAAAGGTCCACTTCGGTCATCCCTCAGGGAAGAAGCTTAGCATCATCTCCCCCTCAAGGATCGTGTTGACTCTGATGATCAAGAAGAAAAAGACTATTGAGAGGCAATAAAAATGTCCTAGTAAAGATTCGAAAGATGAACTTTGACATCAATTTTGTTCCGAATGCTACACTTCTCACTTCTCTTGAAGAGCATCATTCGGTGGGGCAAGTTGTTATATGTCATTTTTTACATACTTGTATTTCTGAGTCGCATAAGGAGAGAGTCAGTGACAACATGCTCCTGCTGGTACTCAAGACACCGCTAGACCATAGGAACATTGCAAAATATGCCTAAAAGTGGGCAACCTTGAAAAGAATACTGGAATGGCCTAAAAAAGAATGAAAAGAGTAGTTTGAAATGCTTGAAGGGCGCTCACAAAGTTTCGTTACATTCCGATAAGATTTGATATGATCAAGACAAAACTCAATTATCAAATCCAGCTCTTGTTGTGCTGAAAAGAGACCTTATAACTACAACTCTATTTTTTGGGCTTAAAAAAAAATACCAGACCACCTCCATCAGATCTAGAGAGTCAAAAAACCCTCAAGGACCAAATTTTGGCTCAATCAGATCTTCCATAACCATTCTAGGACCAAATTACCACAAACGGGTAGGTTTCATACTGTTGCGGTATGGCCTCAGTGAACCAATTGTCATATCTGGAACTGTGTTTTCACTCCTTGGGATGATTTTTAAGTGCTCATAGCTCATTTGGAATTGGAACAAGCTCAAAATTGGTCATGAGCTAGACCTCGATGACCTAGTCATTTTGACATGTGGCACGCATCAAAGCGTGGTCCAAGACAAGAGAACTTCTAGAAAGAACGTGGGCCCAAAAGCATGAAAATCAGAATTTTTGAAAGAGGACGTCTCGTACTTTGAGTGGATCTAACCTGAGATCTGAGTATCTGATCGATGCAAATATAGGTCCGTTACGACCAGATCAAGAAGATGTACAGTTTGGTATGAAATTTGCATTCAACTGAAGGTCAGATAACACGAATTTCAAGGTTGAAGATAACAAGAATTTCTTGATCGCTCAAATCCCATTTTTGGGCGACTTCCCAGATTTGAAATGTACTCAAATGAAGATCAAATAAGAAAAAAATTAGTGCAAAATGTTCATGACAATGTCATCTTCAAATCAAGATAAAAAAAAGGATTTGGAACACCATGGATCGCACTACATTGGTGATCAAAAGCTATGGACTTGGTTAGATTTTCACCCTTCGGGAAAAGTTCATTTCAAGGCGATCAAAGGATATCAAAATGTTCAGAATCGATCAAGCATCAATTCTACGTCAAAAGATCATCTCAACTATTGCCATAAGAGTTCGAAAAAGCTCCTGAAGTCTTAGCAATAGTGAGCAGGGATGATTTCGTCATTGGCCCCATATATTTAAGGGGTATTTTGGTCATTTTTTAAAAAAAATGGGATTTTATTTTAATTTATTTAATGTGTATAATTTAGCTTAGTTTCGAGCTTTCCACATATGTTTGAGGGTTTCTCTACATAAAGAAGCTTAGGTCAATTGTAAAAGGGCTAGATTATTGGTTAATGAAATTGAGGCATTAGATTGCGTGTACTCGACTTTGCTTCTAATTCTTGGATCCAGTGGAGAGGAGAGAAAAAACTTTTAGAGAGAGAAATTACCTTGGTCCAAGCAACCTAGCCTACCCCGTGGTCCATGCGCACCAACCGTGACTTGCAGCAAACCTGCAGTCCCGTCTTTCTCTCTGTGCTCTTTCCTTCTCTTATCGCATGATAAGTTTTGGAGCTGCAGCACCTGCGACCCCATCTCTCTTTCTGTGCCTCTCTCTCTTCCACCTCGCGTAGTAACTCGAAACTGCAGCAGACTTGTTGTAACAATCCAAAAAAAAAAAAA